TAGAATTATTTCTAAGCTTATGTACATATTTACAATGAACAAGCGCCACAGATACGACAAAAACGAATCTAATGAGACATTCAGATTATGGTATGACTATCTAATTGATGAGAACAACGTCTTAGTGTGATGACAGTATAGGTTGTCATATGCTATCATTATGAATGAAAAAAAGAGTTTCAAAAGGCATTATATATCTATTTTCAAAAGCACTAAATAGTTTTTTATATGTATTTGCTTCTATAGAAGCACTTTTTATGTAATGCAGTAAAGAAACTTAAAAATTAGAGAAATTTAGGTTTTTAAAAAACGTCAGTTTACAGGTCTCTATCCAGTTTACAGGCCGGGCTCCAGTACCCTCTTAACCGACGAAATTTATCTACTGTTTTTATATATCGTCACTCCCTACGTATAATTACATAAGTGTCACATATGGGATTTTCAGTTTATTGTGCATAGTGACACTCAGAAAGTCATGTTCTTTGTGGTCACCAAGTATTAAAAAAAAAATATTCATAAGTAAGGTAAAAATTTAAAACCGAAAGATCCCTTAACTAGGGAAACTATATGAAGCTTCAAACTTCTTAGATATTTAGATATTTATTTAGACACTTCAGCCTATATGGCCAAGAAGGGGACTTGATTACAAAAAGTCTGTTCACACACATCCTTCCATACGTTCCATACGTTACATACCACTTTTATTTCTCGCTTATTTACATTTAATTTACAATTCCTTTACATTATCTCCACTCCCATCACATTAAATTAAATTGAATTAAATAAATTAACTTAAATCAAAACCCAATTTAGCCTTCGCCTTAATTACCTTTAAATACCTTTATACCTTTATTCCTTTCTGCCTTTTTACATTTTACCTTGCCTATTTACATTTTTGCCATGAAGCTTCAAACTTTTAAACTGCTCTCCTCTCAAATTTGCGTTTTGGAGTTACGGGATTTATACGTAGGGAGTGACGATATTTTAATTGTTTCAACTAACATTGCGCTATTTTTTATTCCAATCCGTTACACGTAAATTTTACAGGATATTGGGCGATTCCATGTTCAACAAGCAATTGTCGAAAGCGCTGACGGATCCCAACTTTGTGATAGACTTGCACAACGAGGCTGTGAACCACTTGATAGATATAATCTCAGATCCGGAATCCATGTTGTATACGAATTTTGCGCCCGAATTGAAAAGATTTCTCAAATTAACTGATAATATTATGCCGTGTGGTTTTGAATATTTCGACGAGTCGTGGAAACGAGACGAATACAGAGCAAACTTGGAAATTGTAATGAATAAATTTATATTACCATCGTGGAAGTGAGTGTGCTTTTGAGCCTTTTATTTTTTTTATTTTTTTTTATTTTTTTTATTTTAACAATTAAAGCTCATTGAAGCTCGATAAGTTATTAAACTAAGAAATATAATTACGGTCATCCGAGCCGATCGCAGGATGTTGTGCGGAAAACTGCGTATATATAAAATTAAATTAAATTAAATTAAATTAAAAAAATAAAAAAACGCGTGTAAAAATTTACACGCGAACAAATATATATATATATATATAT